ATAGCAACAACTGATCTCTGCTGTTCCTTAGGACCAAAATCTCCCCGTAAGGAGAAAAAAAAAATCAAAGTTTTATTTCTTTTACATTGTTGTTTTTAGCGCACACAAATGATAGAGTACTTAATAAATTTTAATAAAAGTCTTCATTTAGATATATTATATTATATTTGTTTAGACCAGAAAGGAAAGTTATTACGTAGTTATACTCTACAATTCAAAAGGGAAAAGTTTTTTAAAGTTTTGACAAACCTTAAAGTCTTTTCAGCTCGTGGAGGATCCGTTTCAGTGAAGTTAGCAGTGAAGTTAGCAGTGAAGTTAGCAGTGAAGTTAGCGTTCACGGAGGGAAACTTGTTGCTGTTCTGCTCAGTCAGAATGTTGCTGATGTCAGAAAAATCTGCTGTCATGTCATGAGCTGGAAACAAAATAAATAAATAAAATCAACAAACGTGTTTGCAAAAACAAGTTGCATCGTATTTTCACTTAAGACTTACAAAATAATTTCATGATTTTGGCAAAAGTGCCAATCAGGTGTAAAATCTGCTGTAGAATTTAAACTGAGGTAACGCTGAACAGAAAATCGTTTGAAAAAAAAGAAAGAGGAGACATTCTACCCTAAATGCTGCAAATGCAAGCATTGCTGAAAATAATTCACTCATGTAACATCGCGTAATGTTTCAGCTCTCTGCATCACTTTGAGTCATCAAGCTTTATTCTTTTTTATACCCTTGCTAATTCATCAGTTCGATTTCAGAAAGGAATCAATGACTTCTCGATTTCATCGTTTTTTTTTATAACAGAAACATAAAATGTACTCATTTTTACATCTTTAAGATGACTATAACAAGACTCACTGTGTACACTGAGGGCGATGAGTTCGGTCAAAAGGAAAACGTTCAGGATTCCCAAAGATACGGCCACACCGAGGCAGAGCCTCTCTTTGGAGCTGCTGCTACCTGAACAGAAACCTGAACAGAAACCTGAGCCTTAGCAAAATGTAATTAAATTAAATACATACTATATTTCTCTGTAACTTTGTTCTTACCTGTGGGATGAGATGCACTTTGTTCAACAGGTTCCATATTGACGTAAATTTCCTCCATCGCTTCAAAACTCTGTACTGGGTTTTTTATTTTTTTAAAACATTGACTATAAGTATAGTGGAGCAAAATGAAAAACTGTGGGAAAGAGGTTAGATGTCTGGGGTTCAACATAAAACGTATTTTAGAGATAACAACCAAATAAAGAAATTCATGAGTATGGAATCAGAATTATTTTTCTTAAATATCTTATGCCACATAAAATTCTTGAAGGTTTCAATAATTTCCTAGGTTCATATTTGCTGAGTCAATTCTGTATCGCTGAATATTTATTTCTCCTTTTTTCTTTGTTTTCCCTTCAGCTCGGTTAATCCTACTCATAATAAACACATTACAATTTCTTTGGGTGACTAAAATAATTGACTTTTACATTCACGCACAACTTTGCGGTCGACCACATGGTACTGCATGGTACTGCATGATATCAAAAATTTAAAAAATGTTTTAAATCACTGATATAAGAGTAAAAACAATAATAATAATCTGATGTTGAGATATTTCTGCTCTATGCATCCAAAATGATTTCCTTGAAGGCTAATACATTGTTGGAGCAGATAACCGGTTCCCTCCTCTGTCATATTAAGATCATAATTGTGTCATATGGATCCAACAGTTTTTTTTACAGGTCTCAGTCTGTCCTGATAACTAGACATAGTCTTGCTCTCAGTAAATACAACTGTCATCTTTTAACCTTGTTTCTTGTCCAGTAGCAGAAATACTTACATTAAGAAGCCACAGTCCTTGAGTTGCATTCCAAATGACCAAACTTGTATCACCCATGAATCAAATAATTAAGGAATTGTACGTATTTGTTCATATTTTAAAGGTATGTAGTTTTTTAGGACCGCTATCTAGTAAAAAAAAAAAGCTGCATAATCTGGCTAGTTGGCTGTAAACCTCAGTCACCATGTTTCCTCATCTTCTGAAACAACCACCAGGCAGAGAGCAACAGATTGACAATCAATTTGCTTTGTGAAGCACCGCCTCACTGGGAGGGAATCAAAAGGCTAAAGTGCCAATCAGGTGCAAGTTGGGCGGTTTAAAGTAAGAGAAACTCGATACTGCCTTCAGAGCATGCTGAAGATCAACAAGCAAGCAAGCAAAACATTCACAAAATGGATGTAGAATATCGGAGTTCAGGAATAGAATTGGAGTACAGGATAGAAGAGTTCACTGAATAAAGACATTGCACAGAAATTCAGACTGGGAAGCTAACTGGCAAATTGCTAGCTAAGTATGTAGAGCAGGAAAATAGGTTGGATTTACTTAAATTTATGCAAACCAATTGCCTCAAAAGATTCAGTTACTGCAACATATAAAATACAAGTGTAGTTACACTGTGTAATTTTGGCAAAGAATATTCTTAAACTCATCCAGAATATTATCTCTGCAAAAAAACTTCTTTTATTTTCTACCTACAGCAGCAGCAGCACCAGCAGCAATATATTTGCTACATACAATAAGATACACGGTCTCATTTTTTTTATTTTTTTTTGGGACATAGTTGTCCTGTTCAAAACCTTGTGGTTTGCTTGAGCAGAAATGGTGTGGTGTCTGCTGGGCATGTTAAAACGTTTAAACATTTAGCACACAACATCCTCACTACTTTCAGATAGTTCACTTTTTATTTTATTTTTGTTGTTGCGTGGACTCAATTTAAATAGATTAACTGATAAAGCTTTTTTTTTTATTGTTTGTGTGTTTTATCCAAAGATTCCTGCCAATGGTTTAAGATGAGTATAAACAACTAGTTGATGATAATTAAGTGATGTTCACTTGGACTTTTTTTTTTTTAAAAAGTCTGATGTTTTATTTTACACTGAGCGGCCAAAGTCCAGGTTCAGCAGAAGGCTGAAGGCATCTGATTCAGGCTTCAAACTAAGTACCCGTTTGCTTTACTGTAGAGCTTTGGTAAGGTTAAATTTAGTGGGCTAAAGAAATCAGACAGTTGATTCTCCAATGTGAGAAATCCCTTGAGGTAGTCAAGTTTCTTGTTTGTTCAAATTTTGTTAGTCATTTACATAGTATGATGACTAATTAACAGTTGATTTATTAAGTGATCTTCAGTCAATAAATACAATGTAATCTTTCAATTCATAGTTGAAGTTCTATTATCGGAATTCTGCAAATTAAATATTTTGTCGTATATTTCAATAATTCCTTTCATTCAGTCTAAGCTCCCTGAAAAGGAGAAATTACCTTTCAGATCAATATATTTTTGATTGCTTTGAGTATCATGATATTTTTTACTTCATCTGACTGATATGATCTTCTTTAACGCATGCTGATGGTTCATATTGTTCGTTAATAAGCTTATCATTTACAAGAGGTGAACATTAGTGAACATTAGTGAACATTAGTGAACAGATAGCATCATGAGAAGCAAGGAACAAAAGCTGTAGATAATTTTAACGGTAAAAAAAAAACAATCACCATGTTGTGACCAGCTCTGGGAGAAGGGGCTGTGTAGTGAGTATGTTTATTTTTTTAATATTTGTTTTTAGGTAAAGTGCACCATTAGCAAAACTTAGTTAATGTTATTATAACTTGGGGCTAGTTGTCAGAAGATGTGAGAGGGGTTATTTTAAAAAAAAGAAAAAAAATCACTGATTGAATGGTTGGTTGATAGCCAGCATATATTTGAAGTTGTGCAACAAAAACCAAACTAAAAAAATTATATGAAACCTGAATGGCCATTCAGTTTGATAAATATTTACGCAGACTATTATTCAATAAATCGATAGAAATCCAAGTGCATGCATTAAAACATCCAATCTAAATAATAGGAATTGTATTCACTATCTGAATACAGACTGAAAGTTTACATTGATCATTTATAAGCTTCAGTAATGGAAAATTCAACAACTATATTTTGTTACTGAACACACTCAAGTGTGTAAAATGATGGATGGAGGAAAAAAGCATCATTTGGGCTGAGAAACATACAGCATATAAGTTAGAGAAAAGTAGTGGATAATGATAAAGGTAACAAAATAATTTACCATGTCGGAGCGTAGTTGTGCAGTGTTAAAAAATAAAGAAAGAAAGAGAGAAAAAATAACTTTCAACTCTAGGGAAAGCTAAAACTTAAATATGAGTAGTCTCAGTAAGGTCTGTTTAAGTGTCACATATTCTTAAGAAATAAATTTACAAATGAGAAACTTTTACTGACAAGTTTCACACTAGCGAGTGTTACAGAGAAAAATGTATGAGTTTCAAATGTGTTTATACCGGCGTTTACTATTTTGGAGAAAGCATGAAGCTCTGGGAAGATCAGTGTTGATTCAGCAGCAGGAAAAAAAATTGAACGAAAGTAGCATTTACAATGATGCGAGGATAAATTTTGGAAAATTCTGGACAAATTCTTTAACCAAGGAAAGTTAAAAGTCTAATTTGAATAACCTCCCGTTGGCCTGCTTACAAACAGTCACATATTCTTAAGAAGTACATGTACAAATGAGAAACATTTACTGAAATGTATCACACTAGTGAGTGTTACAGAAAAATCTATGAGTTTCAAATGTGTTTAAAGCGTGTGTCGCTCACAGATAACTGAAGGTAATCACTCTTTAGACAAAGAGCGATAAACTGAGAAAAAAAAACAAAAACCAGATGTCGCTCTGGTTTGCCCCCCTCATGAACCAGCGGGGTTCATGAGGGTCTTGCTCTGAATTCCCCCGAGGTGGCTAATTTGTCATTCTGTCTGCATCCAGCAAAGTTCGCACCTACTTGCAAGCAAGCAAGCCTCTGCGTATCGCAGCTCGGACCTCCAATTCTATGCCTGGCTGAATAAAGACACAGAATCAGAAGCAACATCTCCATTCCAAATCTATTTCAACTTCACTACATAATTATATACTTTTTTTTTTTTTTTACTTGGTTAAATAATTGTTGTTGTTGTTGGGTGCTGTATTACTCTTAAAAAGAAAGTCAGATATACGACATTTTCTGAATTCAGCAGAGAGAAAACAGAAAAAACCTAACACAGAGACCATATGGATTTCACAGGCCGTACCCTATATTTGATCAACCCCCCACAGCTCAGACCACAGTTGTACGCCAGTCGCAGAATCAGAAGCAACATCTCCATTCCAAATCTAATTAAAACTTCAGTAGACATAGTATATAATTATATACATTTTTCTTGATTAAATAACTGTTGTTGTATTGGTATTACTCTTTAAAAAGATAAAAATCAATAGAGGAGGAGGAGGAGGAGGGAAGGGAAGGAGGGGAGGGAGGGGGGGAGGGGGGGGGAATTAGGTCAAAGGGGACCTGTCAAAATGGGACTTGACGAGAACCTGTCCCTAATGTCTCTCTCCCAGTGATGCTCGTGTAGTTGAGAAATCAACTGATCCCTTAATTTCTTAGGCACCACCACTCGTAATCCCCACAGTAGACAATCATCTTCAACAGTGAGCTCAAAACGTCTCTGAAAATATGGCTTCAGCAACTCATCCTGTACATGTTTAGGCCAGCCAGTTAACACCAGCTGTTTCACCACCTTTAACACAGGATCTTTGTCTGTTTCTTTTGCAACCTCCTTTGCAGTGATAGGTAGCTCGTCAAGATAAGATACTTTGTAAATAGGGTTTGACACCACATCCACATTTGGTTTCATCGGTAACCTTGATAAAGCATCCGCATTACTGTGTTGCTCAGATCTTTTGTACTGAATCTCATATTTGTAGGCAGCTAGAATTAGAGCCCACCTTTGCAATCTAGCAGCAGCTAGTGTTGGTACACCTGTTTTTGGTCCCAAGATTTTTAGCAATGGTTTGTGGTCTGTTACCAAAATGAATTTCCTTCCATAAAGATAGTCATGGAACTTCATAACACCAAACACTAAACCAAGTGCTTCTTTTTCAATTTGTGAGTAGTTTTGTTCAGTCTTAGTTAGCATTCGTGATGCAAATGCAATCGGTCTTTTGCTTCCATCTTTCATTTGGTGACTATTACAGCACCAACTCCATAAGGAGATGCATCGCATGCTAAAATAAGTGGTAACTCTGCATCAAAATGTACCAAGATTTTGTCAGATTGAAGAGCCTTCTTGGCATTCTCAAAAGCATTCTGACAACTTTCTGACCAACTCCAGTCTGCATCTTTGTGTAGCAGTGCTGACATTGGCTGGATCAGAGTCGATAAGTTTGGTATAAACTTCCCATAGTAGTTTAACAGAGCCAAGAATGACCTAAGTTCAGTTACATTTCTTGGAACTGGAGCCTTCTGAATAGCGGTTGTCTTTTCCTTCATAGGATGAATTCCAGTAGCATCAATGACATGTCCTAAATATGAAACACTGTCTTGCATGAATTCACATTTTTCTCTCCTTACCCTAAGGTTGTAGCTTTGGAGCCTCTTAAGGACCTCCTTTAAGTTACTCAGGTGGCTTTCTGCATCTTTACCAGTTATCAAAATATCATCAAGATAGCAGATAACACCATCCATGCCCTGAAGTACTTGATCCATTATTTTCTGGAAAATTGCAGGAGCACTTGCAACACCGTAGGGCAACCTGTTGTATTGATACAGCCCTTTGTGAGTGTTGATGGTCAGGTAGCACCTAGAGCTGTCCTCCAACTGGACTTGCTGGTAAGCCTGCGATAAGTCTAGTTTGGTAAATTTCTGACCTCCTGCTAATTTTGCAAATAGATCTTGCGTTTTTGGAAGTGGATATTGATCCATGTTTAACCATGGATTGATGGTGACTTTATAGTCTCCACATAGTCTCACACTGTCATCCTTTTTAGGTATGCACACTATTGGAGCAGCCCACTCACTGTAATTAGTGGGTGAAATAACTCCTTCTGCCTCCAATTTTGTCAGTTCCTTTTCAACAGCTCCTCTTAATGCATATGGAACATTTCTTGGTTTGTGGAACTTTGGCGTTGCTTCTGGAACAACATGTAACTTGGCTTTAATACCTTTCAACTTGCCTAGCTCAGGGTTGAACACTGATCCATACTGAGCGCAAATGTCTTCCACTGTTACTGGAGCCACTCTGTTCACCTGTGACCAGTCTAGCTTCAACTGGCTAATCCAGTCTCTACCCATCAAAGCAGGGCCTCTTCCTTTTACTACTAACAGTTCTAGTTTCTTAGTGGTCTCTTGACATTTCACTTTTGCCACAAATTTACCCATCAACTGTAATGACTCTTGACTGTTTTAAGTACACAATTTGCTGAACTAAGTTTGACTGATTTAAATCTGCGCCTATACAGATTTTCAGATATCACTGACACTGCGGCACCAGTGTCTAGTTCCATCTTCACTCTTGAACCATTTACACTGACATACACATAGTAAGGCTTTACAATGTCATCATTACCTGTGTTCATTTCAAACAGACCAAAATCTGGACTGTCCAATGTCAGATCTGGAACAGTGTCAGAGTTCGGTGCAGCTTCCGTCTTGCACTGAACCACATTACTGGCTGCTCTGTCTTCTCTGACTTGATGTGACAGGAATTGGTTGTCCTCGGGATCTCTTTTTAACCCATGCTGGTAGCCTGGATCTGCATCCTGGGGCGCATCTTCAGGGGGCTATGCAGACTGTGGACATCCTGCTGTTGAACGCAGACATCATGGCGCTGCTTGAGAGCGCTGGGTTGCCTCTTAAAATCCAGATGCATGGTTCCTTTGGTCGTACTCGAACAACCTTCTTTACGCGTGCGACAGGCTTTTGCGATGTGTCCCTTTTTCTTACACTCGTGGCACTCACTTTCTTTAAACCTGCAGTCATTCGGGTTATGATTTTTTCCACCGCAGCGATAACAGGGCTTACCGGCCACTGTATTTTTCTCAGCTTCACGGTATTTTGGTTTCACTCTTTTGTCCACTACATGAGCCTTGAAAGCTTTCTGTGCAAATTGCTGTGCACTGTCCTTGGTTACCTCAAAGGATAGCGCCATCTCTACAGCCAGCGGCAGCGTCAAGTCTTTGGTGTGCGCGGTGCTGAGTAGACGGTCTCTCAGCTCGCTGCTCTTTACCCCACAGACAAATCTGTCACGCAGAGCTTCCTCTAAGAAAGTCCCGAATTTACATGTAGCTGCTACTTTTCGTAAACTAGCCACGTACTCACTGATTGTTTCATTGTCTTTTTGGTTTCTTCCGTGAAACTTGCACCTTTCTGCAATAAAGTTAGTCTTCGGTACGTAGTGCTTCTGCAGCAAACCCACCAGCTCCTCGTAGCTTTTCTCTGACGGTTTATCCGGAGCACACAGGTCCATCAGCAAGCTGTGGGATCTTTTTCCCACCACCGTGAGAAATACCGACTTAGTTTTCTCATCTTTAGTGTCCAAGTCGTTTGCCGCAAAATACTGCTCGAGACGCTCGCGGTAGTTGTCAAAACTTTCCTCACTTTCCTCGAAGTGAAAATCTTCTGGCTTTCCAAACGCCATCTTTGTAGCTCTGGTTCGGCGGTCCTTTCACTCACCCAAACGGTCGGCTTTTTAACGGTCCCGTTTTGCCTCTATGGAGCCGCAGCTTCTGCGCACTCTGTGCCTTCCAGCTTGAACAATCCCATCCTCGTCGCCAAAATTCTGTTGTGTATAACACTAGTTCAAAATAAATGATGTCCAAGCAGACGACTGGACCAAGCACATAGCAACATTTTATTTCCAAACGGGAACTCACTTCTTCTTCTGTAGTTACAGGTTCTCTAACCAGACTCTCAAAAACCACGAGAGCGCCACCTACAGAGTTTCATTAATTTCTGTGTCTGGAACACCACAAGTTTGAAACAGAAACCACATTCCCTCTAAACAAAAAAAGAACAATTGTTTAAATAAGACATTAGAGAAGGCAGAAAATGTGAGATAATTAACACCTTATTGTATCTGATTCTCATTAGAAAATAAATAATAAACCTGCTGATTAACAGAAAATCTTCCATAGGATCCTAGAAATACAGAAAAACAGGAAATAGTTCAGAGAGAAAAAAACTCAAAGAAAACATTCAGGATCATATGTGTCACCTACCTTCCACCAAACTACCGGTGTTGGAGAAATTGTGATATTGTTAATCAAATATTTGTTATTCTCATTGCTTTATTATGTGTCTTTCTTTTATGCTTTCATTTTAGTTAATCTCATTATATAATTAAGATTATTTCTGTATTGTTGATTAACTCTGATTCCTTTCTCCGAAGGCCTCACTGATAGAGAGCAGAGACGAAATGGCTTCCAGACCAGACGATGATCTCTGCTGTCCGGTCTGTCTGGACATATTTAAGGATCCTGTTCTTCTGTCATGCAGCCACAGCTTCTGTACGGAGTGTGTGCAGAAATCCTGGAGAGAGAAACCAGGAAGAGAGTGTCCAGTTTGTAAAAGGAGATCATTCATCAAAAATCCACCACGTAATCTGGCTCTGAAGAATCTGTGTGAGACTTTCTTACAGCGGAGACAGAAGAGAGCTTCAGAGGATCTCTGCAGTCTGCACTCTGAGAAACGCAAACTCTTCTGTCTGGACCATCAGCAGCCAGTGTGTGTCGTCTACAGAGACTCAGAAAACTACACCAGTCACAGATTCAGACCCATTGATGAAGCTGCTCAGCAACACAAGAAGAAGCTTCAGAAACTCTGGAGCCTTTAAAGAAGAAGCTGGAGCTCAGGAAGAAAGTTCAGGAGGAGTTTGATCAGACAGCAGAACACCTGAAGGTCCAGGCCCGACACACAGAGAGGCAGATTAGGGAGCAGTTTAAGCAGCTTCATCAGTTTCTAGCAGAGGAAGAGGAGGCCAGGCTGGCTGCACTGAGGGAGGAAGAGGAGCAGAAGAGAGGGATGATGAAGGAGAAGATGGAGGCTCTGAGCAGAGAGATAGCAGCTCTTTCAGACACAGTCAGAGCCACAGAGGAGGAGCTGAGAGCTGAAGACGTCTCATTCCTGCACAACTACAAGGCTGCAGTGGAAAGAGTCCAGCGCTGCCCCCTGCTGGAGGATCCACAGCTGCCCTCAGGAGCTCTGATAGACCAGGCCAAACATCTGGGCAACCTGGCCTTCAACATCTGGAGCAACATGGAGACAGTGGTGACCTACACTCCTCTGGTTCTGGATCCAAACACGGCTGGTTCAGAACTCCGTCTGTCTAAAGATCTGACCAGTTTGACTTTAGAGAGGAACAGCAGCTTCCTGATAATCCAGAGAGATTTGATAAAGCCTGCTGTTCTGTTCTGAGTTCTGAGGGTTTTAACTCAGGGAACCACAGCTGGGATGTTGATGTTGGAGACACTAAAGCCTGGAGCCTTGGTGTGATAGAAGAGTCTGTTGAGAGGAAGGGAAGAATAGAGTCTGGATGGATGTTTTTATGGTTATATAAAGGTACATACTATGCATATTCTCCATCAGCTCCTTTCCATCGTCTCTCCATCCAGAAGAATCTCCAGAGGATCAGAGTGAATCTGGACTGGGACAGAGGAAAGCTGTCCTTCTCTGATCTGGATACTAACACACACATACTCACCTTCAAATACACCTTCACTGATAAGATGTTTCCACTCTTCACCACTACTAACACCTTAAAGATTGAACCGATGAAGATCTCAGTGAACAAGCAGCAGCTCTGATGATCCAAATCAAAACTTATTGATCAGATGATTGATTGGTTTTATGATTGATTATATGGTTTTCTGGTTTGGTGAATTTCTTATTGTCATTTTTAAACTCTGTTTTTAATCAGGAAATGAAAGATGATCTGATCATCTGGAGGATTTTTTACATATTTCTGTTTCCACTGAAATATTTTGAAGGTTTATTATTTATCACTCGATGTAAATAAATTACTAGGTTTTTTGTTGAAAACTTGCTCTTTCAATTTTACTTGTGATGGATCATAAATGAAAACTATCACTTGTATCAACGTATCAATATATTTCCTTCTAGTTAAAGAATTACTGTTTACACAAATGTTGTAGATTATTAGTTGTTTCCAAACCTGAAGATTTTTCTTTTTTTTCTTGTTAATTTTGGAAAGAATTTCATGTAAACAAATATATCAGCTGGTTTATGGGATCAAATGTTCATGAATGTCTCTTGTTAACTTGAAACAGCAAAAATAAAACCTTTAAAATCAGATAACGTATCAAAGTTTCTTTTCATTGATGGCTTCAGATTAAACATGCATCAATAAATGATGCATTAATGTTTTCTCTCATCCTTTTGATAACAGAAGACTTGATTTTATTGGTCAGACTGGAGGAACGCCGCCCTCAAGCTTTTAAAGATGAAGTGATGTGAAGAAATCAAAACAAGGCGTCTAAATGGATCCTGTGGGGAACAAAGACCAGCTGCTCCACAAAAAACTAAACACAAAGGAAGGATCTCAGAATTAGGACCAGAAATGCACCAGAAACCACTTTCAGAAACAGAAAGCTAAATGTTAACAAAATGAAACATTAAGAAAGGCAGAACATTTGAGCGACTTACCATCTTATTGTATCCAATTTTCCATTAGAAAAGTAATTATAAAACAAAGAAACCAATTAGAGGCACCAGAATAATGAGGTTTTGGCAACAGCTTCAGTTACAAACAAGTTTTTACTCTGAAGTCAAACTTTTATTTGAATTAAACTCTTAGATGAAGGGACCTGGTGTGTTTTTGAGACAGAAATATAATGTTCTGATTTTCTTCTATTATATCAAAGAACTTTGTATTTTCTGTCATCAGGAAAGATAATTTTCTTTCATCAAGGATTTAGATGGTTAAATTTCTCTGAGTTTTGTAGGTTGAACATCACGTTTAAGTGAGTTTTTGAAGGGCCCTCTAGGTCAATGTCCATTGGCTGAGTTGTGTAGATGAAATATTAAAAATGTTTTATTTGCATTGTTATGGGACTTAATGTAGTTTTTGATTATTGATTGTGCACTTTGAAATGCCTTGCTGCTGAAAGATGCTATAAAATAAAATTTGATTTGATTTGATCAGAATTGTTTGGTGCTTGGAGGTGGACTAGACCAGCAGCTGCTCCAAAAGCATGAGGTGGACCACAGAGCAAGGCTTTCTGGGTACATACAACCAAAGCAAACAGGCTAGCTAGCATTAGCAGGAAAGTTATTATTTACCGAATACAAAAAGGAAATCCTGAAACTGCTTCTATTTTCTGGAAGCCATTATTAAATTGATCAATGGAATCACTAAAATGAAACAATTTTCAATGAGATTTTAATGTTCTTTGTAGTTTTTTGAAATGATTTTTATGGAATAAAAGGATTTCATGCTTTAAAGCCATGAAATGATTTAACAATTTTAAAGCTCATCTTAAAACCTATTTATTTTACTTGGCTTTCAACTCCAGCGACATCTAGTTTTAGATTGTATGTTTGTTGTTTTAAACTGTATTTGTTTTTATCTATTTTATGTACAGCACTTTGTTTCAGCTGTGGTTGTTTTAAAGTGCTTTATAAATAAAGTTGGTATGGTATGGTATGGTAATTTCTAGAACTAAAGAAAGAAAACTGGAAACCGATAATTAGAAGCACTTTAAAATATACGATAAACTGGGAGTGAAATATTTGCAGTCAGGGATGCAGAACAGATCTATGTATTTTATCCTCCACTAGATGAAGCTAAAGGACAAAAATAAGGCAGATTCATTAAGAGACAATCATCCCGTCACATGATGTATTTCAATCATGTCATAATTTGCCAAAACTTTATCTTTAGTTATGGATAAAACATGAACACCTCTATCAAAAACATTTGATAACATTGAATATTAAAGTCTAGAAATAGAAAAGGATTTGGATCCTGAAAAGAACTTTATCTATAATAATGTTGACCATTGTTGCTACTATTCTACTCAGCAATACAATTTGACTGTTAAAGCAGATAATACATTTTCCATCATACATTTCAACAGCAAAAGCTGATATGTGAATTTGACCAGCATCAAAGACTGTTTAATCCAGTTCATTCAGGCTTTAAGTATCATAACTATGTCTGAAACCTGGATTAATATTAAGGCTGACTTGAACTAGATGGTTATGAAATTAGTTACATTAACAGAGATGTGAAGACAGACAGTAGACCCTGAAACATTCCAAGAACACATCAATCCATGGAGGTGCAATGAAACATGTTGCTAAGTATTTGAAACAACATGAAAGTATTGATACTCCTCCATTAATAATGGAGGAGTATCAATACTTAGTTTCTATTATATTTTCATGGCTTTTATTTAAATTTGTTGAATTTCTTAACATTATTTTGGTTTACATTTACAATATTTTTTGTAATTTTTCTATCTCCGTTTTTAACCACATTATACAAAGGTCAGAAAAATAATCAAATTTGCATCAAAGCATTTTTTATTCTGAACCTGATTATTTGCAGAAGGGCAAAGTTTTCCTCAAAATCCAACACTGCCTTTATCTCCAGGACTACAGTTTTTTCTAAAACAGATTAACAGAAAATCCATAAGTGGGCGCCACATCTTTGCCTCAAGACTGGAATTCAAACAGGACACCTTGATATACAGGAAAAACAGAAAATAGTTCAGAGAGAAAAACTCGAAG